CTGGTGATGACGTGCAGATGTTGTGCAGATGTAGACGCAGATCAGCGTAATCACCATCTCTGTTGTGTGCCATGTCTAAACAATAAACAATATTTAATGACTTTTTGTCTCTGAGAAAAACAAGTCCCACTTAATACCCCCGTACCTTGACGAGGCTGCATCGGTACAGGGGTTGTAAAACCATATATATATCCATGTTTTGTTTAAACTTTGATTACATTTTAATACTGTTATATTGTGTGTTTATTGGTGAGTGTTGGAAAAAAAATAATCAAATGTTTATTTGATGAATGTTTTCAATTTCGGTAATGAGTAACATATTGCTGAATGTGTGCAACACGTGTTTGTTTTTAAAAAAATATTGTTCCCATGTTGATGAATTGTTGTAAAATATGGTTTGTGTGGCAGGGTAGGTGGTGAGAAGGGGGGTGGGGGGGTGGGGTATGGATGATGAGGGGAGGTGGTGAGAAGGGTGTGGGGTATGGATGATGAGGGGAGGTGGTGAGAAGGGGGTGGGGAATGGATGATGAGGGGAGGTGGCGAGATGGGGGTTGGGGTATGGATGATGAGGGGAGGTGGTGAGAAGGGGGGTGGGGTATGGATGATGAGGGGAGATGGGGGGTGGGGAATGGATGATGAGGGGAGGTGGTGAGAAGGGGAGGTGTCGTTGGTGTCAATATTTGATATCCAGACACCACCAGGTGTGGGTGCTGGTTGGGGGGGTGGGAGGTTGGAGTGTTGAGGATTTAGGAGTGGTGATACGGAGGTTGGGATTTCAGATGGAGGATGAAGGGAGATTGGCGGGTGATATGGAGATTGGATGTGATACGGAGGTTGGGATTGTGATATGGAGGATGGGGGGAGATTAGTAGGTGATATGGGATGTGATACAGAGGTTGGGATGTGAGATGGAGGATGGGATGTGATACGGAGGTTGGGATGTGAGATGGAGGATGAGGGAAGATTGGTGGGTGATACGGAGGATGGGATGTGATACGGAGGTTGTGGGGAGATTAGTAGGTGATATGGAAGATGGGATGTGATACAGAGGTTGGGATGTGAGATGGAGGATGGGATGTGATACAGAGGTTGGGATGTGAGATGGAGGATGAGGGAAGATTGGTGGGTGATACGGAGGATGGGATGTGATACGGAGGTTGGTGGGTGATGTGGAGGTTGGGATGTGAGATGGAGAATGGGGTGAGATGGCGGGGGTTATACAGAGGTTTGGGTGGGGATACAGAGGATGGAGTGAGATTGGGGGATGATATGGAGGATAGGATGGGGATACAGGATGGGGTGGTTATATGGAGGTTGGGGTGGAGATACGGAAGATAGGGTGGTAATTTGGATAACGGGGTGATGATACGGAAGATGGGTGGCGATACAGAGGTTGGGGTCATGATATGGAGGATGGAGTGAGATTGGTGGATGATATGGAGGATGAGATGTGATACGGAGGATGGAGAATGGTGTAGATTCATATTCACTAAAACAGCAACAATCACCAAAATACTAAATCCACACTTCAATGTGCAGACACAAACCATCATTCAGGGCATCATTGTGATATATCATACGAAAAATAAATAATTCAAAATATTTATCTACATTGTTTATGAAAACAAAATTCAAACTAGAAAATAAAATAAAAAGATTTAGATAAATTACAAACAATCGAAGCTATGAAAGGTAAATGGATGTAAAGTTATCAGGCCTGGTACATCCTCTGTAACAGAGTTTGGCTTCATCCTCTGATTGATAAAGTCAATGATCCCCATCTCCATAGCTTGTCCTATCATACAGGAATTCTCTAAACCTTGTACGCCTTCAAAAAGATATAAAAATGAAGTTAATTTTTTCTAAGAGCACTTGGCAGGTGTGTCAGCTAATGTATCGAGAATGAAATTCTATTAATTTGACCTGTTCGCTTGTATTGAGAGGAAAAGGGAAAAAGTGCCACTTCTCGTGGAAAAGGTAGGATTGTGAAACGTACAAGCAGTCATCTGCCAGTCATATTTCACTCCAGTTTGTATTATGACATGTGCAAGGAAATCGGCACGCGGAAGCAGTCACAAGCTTGAATATATAACCAAAGTTAATTTATGTCAAAGTTTTTTTTTCATTTATGTCAAAGGCTTTTTTTACGTTGAGAGAACATGGGTGGAAGTCGGCACCTTGGGGTACCATGTTCCGTCATCACTGCTGTACATTTCAGACGTGAAAAATAACATTTTCCTCATCTCATGTGGATGTTGAACTGTCAGGACTGTTTTGATTGGACATTTTGGAAGAACGCGGCACCATTTCCTGTCTTTCTTAATCAGAGAACAAATTTTCGACATATCAAGTCGAAGCGAAATGTTTATTTTACAAAATTAAGACCACTGAAAAATGTGTTATTTTTTACATGTAAATTAATATGAACAAAAAGTTGAAAATATTATATATTATGATGCAAAGTATGTATGTCTTTAATTTGGCAAGTGTAGAAAATTGAAAATTTTGAAAAAGAATCAGTTTGTAAATATAAAACGTCTATAGAGAATAACCAGTCTAGGTTATCTGCCCAAACAGATTCCAGTGGGCGTAAAAGACAAGATAGTGATGAAAATTATTTTTATAATTTTGTAAAATGATAGCTTCTTAGTAGATTTGAAAGAGAGGTAATTACATTTTCAAATCTCTTTGTAAGTTTCCTGGTGCTTGACATTGGCACAAAGAAGCTTGTCCAGCAACACTCCCTAAGCCATTAAACAAATATAAAAGCCATGTCATTAACCACATGTTGAAGCACAAAGTCTGGGAATTAATTTTAGCTGGTTAATATTTATAGAAATTAACATGATAAAGATTTCATGATATGAACCAGTAAGTTATGTGACTCTAAAAACATTATTAATTTATAAAGTCAGGGCATGGACTTGGTAAGATCCTACAAAAGTGAAAGACCATGCCACCAAGATAATGTGTGTACCTAGCTGCCTTCATTCTATCAGTACCGTGCCTCCTATCTCTGCCTATAACCCTAGGTGCATACAGACTTGAAAAGGCCTTGAATTTTAAGAACCCTCTTGAAAAGTCTTGATATTCAGTGTGAGCCTTGAAAAGGTTTGTTTGATAGGCATTTCTTGGAAGTTGATGGTTGATAGAGTTGATAAAGTTTATGGATAAGAACTTCTTTTATAAACCGAAATATCGACGATCCGGTACAGATTCTTATACCTTTGTGTTATTATGCTTTGTCAACCTTCAAAAGCCTTGAAAATCACCAAAATAGTTGGACAAGCCTTGAATTTGTACAAAATGATGTATAATTTTAAATAAAAGTATTAAAATTAATAACAGACTTCATTTATTTTATTTAGTTGTTAGGAAAATATGTCTTGTGATGTTCATACTGCTTTTTATGTCTTACAATTAATAAATAGTATGTTGGATGTTTAAAAAAAATATTGACAGACAAATAACCCACCTGAATAACCCACCTAAAAAGCCTTGAAAATAACAGTTGAAAGCCTGAAAAGCCTTGAAAGGCCTTGAATGTTAGTTTTCTATATCTGTATGAACCATGTAACTATCGTCTTGCTAGGAACACCTTATGACCAAGTTCAAAAGCCTCAGCTCAAAGGGCTGAATTTTAGTATACATGAGGGAGCTCTGTTAATTCATTCCTCCACCCCTGTTTGTCTGATTATCGCCTAATTAACAGCTCATTTGTGTTGATCTTGTTTTGTAGTCCTAATCTGACCAGTACATTGAACTACACCACCAGTGCTGTTCTCCCATGAAACTACTTAAGGAAGCTATAGTAATCATAGATTGTGTGATACTGTTTTCCTAATGACCAATGGAATGCTTCAATGTGGGAAAGACATTTAATACAATATACTGGCCATATGACAACTTGTAATAGCTTTGCCATGTGAGCAAGCCCCTGCTGGCTGCTGATAAGAAGATTATGTTTAGATATTGATTTAAATTTTCAGAAGTGGAATAATTAACTAAGCCTTATGTTTCATTCTTCCATTTTTTTCATTCCTGAATATTCTTTTCAGCCATTTGTATACTTATGATATTGGGACAACTTTTTCAAATTTCGATCGTTAAAATAAATGTTCTTTCCCGGTGAAAGTATTCTAGAGAAATCCATTACAAAGAGCCAGTAAAATTCGAACCCTCCTCTGGGCGAAGGTTTGATTGTAAAAGAGTGACATTCTATTTTGCCCAGCTATAGAATTGTCAAAAGAATAACTGTTATTGTAAAAACTGTGTCAGTTATCCTGCCTGGTTGGCAATTTCTTTCATAAAACCCTTTCAGTAAATTCTTTCACAAGTTAGGCGTGAAGAGAATATTTTGTATTCAAAATTAAGGATACCCATTTGTGCCGTTTAACCTTGGAATTTGCATAGCTACTTTCCCCGGTAACTGTTGCCAATATTGCAAGACTCAATAGTGGTGTGGGAAACTAGGGGTATCTTCGCCACTATTATTCCGTGGAAAGAAGCTTGACTTATTGTATCGGTGACATGATTGTTGCTCTCATTGTGCTAATGTTCCATTTTACGCCTCTCAATGCGCCTTTATATACAACTTTTATGTGTATGGCAATGCAGTTAAAGATATTGCCGACACAATACTGCCTTCACTATTGATCGGGCTAGCTGAGCTCGAATCGCGGTAGGCCGACTATCCATTGACAAGCCTATTGAACACAATGCCACGAATATTATTACATCAAGAAAGAAAAAAAGGAAGTGAACCGTGGTTCAGCAGTTCAATTTTTTTTTGTTATTTATTGAATTGTGAAAAGAAAGGAATCATAAATTTAATGGCTGCCCTTGTGACTTTTTCTTTTATCTATTGTGAGGCATTTCCCGTCTGAGGGAAGGTGTACAGGTAGCTGTGATTTAAGGGCGCAATTATGATTGAACGCAGTTCTAGTCCACTCGTCTATTGAACCTGTATTTACTTTGGTAACAGTTGTTACTGTGTGATTAGTGAAGTTTGCAATTCCTCGTGAAGCCTTTCAACCCTGCAGTGTGTCGACAGCTACGCCTCCGTTAGTGCTACAAATACAGTGTGAAGCAGGCAAGCAAGCTGTCCGAGGACTCTCCGCATCATATTGCGTTGCAGCTACAGATATATCTGTGGATCTATATGACCGCTGCCTCTTCCATTCCTACTGTGTTAGCCTTATTCAACAACTGATTGTAAAGCTGGGAAGATATTGTGAATCACTAGCCGTCAGTCGACAAGAGCTCTTAGGCTCCTCCTCTGATGATTGGCCCATGAAAGAACTAACACGGCATTTTACTTAGCTTGATGGCCAGGCACCCCCCTGTACCCCCTCCTCAAGGCCTGGCTAAGATTTGGTGGCAGCAGTGGTATAATCGCCACAATCGTATCTCGACTGACAACAGGGAGACGGAGCATCTACAAGCACACACGCCGTTACAATGCATGAAGCATTCTCACTCTGTGTTAGGTAAAACTTTTCTCATTCTTGCATGATCTTGTCGTCTGTGGTAGGTCAAACTTTACTCATTCCATTTTGTCTTCATGTCTTTGAGAAATGTTTCAGTATCATGTGGGGTTCGTATTTGACAGGATGAAAAGTTGTAAGGAAAATCACATCTTCTGTAATTTGATTATAAAGAAGTTGCTAGGTTCAGGAGGTGTAGTACTTGCAGTTATTTGTGTTTAAGGTTTCCTGGAATCTAAATTGTTTATTGTTTTGATGTCATTTTAGGATAATGAATATTTAAGCCTGGTAGTTTAGTATCTGTTTTTAATTAAAGTGGATCTGATCTTTCCATGTCATTTCTTATTTGTGAGTTGTGCTGGCTATATCTGCTTTATAGGACTATTTATATGCTATTTGTGTGACAAATCAATTATTATTTATTAAATATCTGAAATGTCAGTGCAGAGTAGAAATATTTTGGTATATATTCTTTTTGTGTGTAAAAAAGGCTAGCTAAAAATAGTTAAATATTTATGTCATATTTTATTATAACTGTGACACTTTTCAGTATGTAATGTGCACTAATTTTCACATCAGATTGGTATTTATGGAGAAGTACTTTTCATATTCATAATTAATGCCTAAATTCCTCAATATTCCATGTATGTTTCTATAAATGTTTTGAAGACATAAAGTCAAAAATAATGTTTTCCTTCAACTCTGTATCATAAATACATTGACTTATCAAATTTTGCTGTTTTGCAGCGAATTTATTGCAAGGTTCTTGTGACAGTATTATCAGAAAGAGCTTGCTCGTTTTATCTTGTGTTGAATTTATTACAAACATTTACATTGAATTATATACCAGGTGACAGGAAGGATATGTTATGTTCTAACCAGGAACACATTTCAGTTTAATGGATATAGAGAGTGGCATTTGGATAATATTTTCTTCATGACTTGTTTGATTCTATTCTAAATACAGTGTAGTTTTAGTTAAATTGACTTGTGTGTTAATATTAATTTTTGTTTTTGTTACAAGTAGTTTAAAATGAAATTGAAGAGTGAGTAAGATGTGTTTTTTAAAACTTATGTCTTTATGGAGTTCTGTTTTGTTCTGATAAATAAATAAATAAATAAATAAATAAATAAATAAATAAATAAATACACAAACACTTTTCAGTATTTCTAAATCATTGTCTAATTCTCAAAACAGGACGTGCATTTTTAGTTTGTTGAAAAAGACAAGCGTAACACCCATGTAATAAGAAGTTGGAACTTTTCAAGAAGAGTTACGGAAAAGCCACAACAGTATAGAATGGCAATAATATTGTTAAAGCTGGGAAAGTCTCCAGCTGACTGACACTGATGTCATAATGATAGGAAACACAAAACACAGTTGTCAAACTTTGTTCAACTTGTAAATATGGTCACTTTCTATAAGTCAGGGTCTTTGATCACAAGGAAATTTGTTTCTGTGGTTATTTCAAATGTGATCTTCCTTCATCAAAATTCATATCTACAAGATGATCCATGATACAAATCACTCGCCTGTCAATAAAAAACTAAAAAAACTGTTATTTTCTCAAAATACAATTATCCATATTTGGTTGTCTTGTAATTTTGCTGGCTACCTTTCTAATTCACAGGCTGAGTAGATAAAACTCACAGCAGAAGCCTGTCAAATCTGAAGGGTTCAGTTGAAACCATGTCATAAAAGTTTTGAAAAGATTAAATTAGAAAATTATTTTATGATCTCTCTTCCTGAGGTATCAGAGTGTTTATGCTGGCTTTGCTCAGTTGTGATTTGGGATACTGTTAGGAGACTTTAGAAAAGTGTTTCGTTTGCAAATCGTATTGGAGCTGACGTTAACAAACTGTCCGTGGTGCTGAATGGTACATTTTTGTTCTCAAATGAGTCACATGAATTTACATAAAACGATATTTGTACCAATCAGAGTTATGACAACTGTCTTGTGCATCTCTGCTTTGCATCATATTGTGCAAAGTTGTTGTTGTGTATTTGGGATGAGGCAAGTTCTGTTTCTCGTCACAGTGTTACAGAGCTCATTTTGGTGCATGTCGCTAAGGAAGTTAGAATCCAATGACAAATAATTAGCCTTCCACAATGTTGAAATGGACAGCACTATGTCATTTGAAACTGACGTTATTCGCTCAGTACACAACTGACAAGATAAATCTGCAAGAAATTAGAAGACAGGCACTTCTTTAGCAGACAAATGTCACTGCAAAAACACTAGTTAAAAACCAACAGCTTTTCAACACCGTTATTTCTTATAAAAGGGAGGCAAATATTGTCAAGCAGTTATCAATAGAACCATGCAATGTGTCAGACAAATTAAATACTTGATTTAAACTCGTCTTGTTCCACAAGCTGGCTTAAAAATGTGGAGTTTGAGTGTCAGTTTAAAGTGACATGCAAGCTTAAGTTGATTTTTGAGTTAGTATGGTTACGACAAGCAGTGACCAGAGAGCATTGCTCGGGTTGAGGGGTACAAACAGACGCCTGGCTTGTCATTTAAGTCTTATAGCATGAAATAGAAAAGCTTTTTCACTAAGACCTAAATAATTACACAGGAGATGTGTTTCTAATAACCTGCTTATATTTATCTCGCTTTTAACCTGACTTTTCTTTGTAAAGCGAAGACTTTTTGTGTCTTCCGCTGAATTGCGTTGCGTAATGTGCTTTTGGGTTTCAATAAGTTCTCCCTGACAAGAGCCTACTACTATTTTAGTCAAGAAAATGAACATATTTGAACAGCGATTCTGTATGCAGAAAACGGTTCTTTTACAGGAAATGTTAGATGGTTAAAGATGGACGTGCATCATTAATGGATATGAGTATGAGGTATGGGTGTGATAATAGCATTCAGTGTATGACAACTATATTCACTGTATGACAATTGTATGACATTCATGATTATTGTATGACAGTTGTATGGCATTGAATGATATTGATATGACAAGCATACATCATCCCTGTTCTACAGAGGATGATCTTTTAGTACCTGAAAAAATGCTGACACAGCACAAAGAATTATTCACTGACTTGCAGTCTCGGGTCAATGTAACATAATGGTGGATGCATTTGGATGAAGATTTACGTCAAGATGGGGATTTCGCCTCCCTGCTTGAGGGTATCCTTGAATGTAGAAGCTGGAATTGAAACTTGCATCAACTTGCAAAGAGGAAAGTTTGGCTGTTAGTCTAGAATGAAAATGTGCTTTGAATAATTGTTATGATATGTCTATAGTCATGGATGTCCAGCAGTCAACACCCTAGGACACGCACCTCCTCTCCGCCCCAACACCCCCTACCCCCACCCACCCTTTCCCCTCCCCTCCCCTAATATATTGTCACTGTTTTCATATATATGGATTGAGTTTTAAAATATATACGTCATATGCCTCAGTGATTTTGCTCTCTCTCTCTCTCTCTCTCTGCTAACCATCACTCAACAGAAAGCATCTATCTATCTATCTATCTATCTATCTATCTATCTATCTATCTATCTATCTATCTATCTATCCCAGTTGTAATGCTAACCATCACTCAACAGAAAGCATCTATCCATCCATCCATCCATCCATCCATCCATCCATCCATCCATCCATCCATCCATCTATCTATTTATCTATCTATCCATCTATCTATCTATCTATCTATCTATCTATCCCAGTTGTAATGCTAACCATCACTCAACAGAAAGCATCTATCTATCTATCCATCCATCCATCCATCCATCCATCCATCCATCTATCAATCTATCCCAGTTGTACTGCTAACAATCACTCAACAGAAAGCCCCTCCAGTCGCTAGGGAGACATTTCTCCCCCTTCATCTGAGCCAGTATGTGTGTGTGTATGGGACACCACCCATCAGTCGAGCTGCTACGGAGGCTGGCTATCTCCATTGTTGAGCCTGTCCCCTACAGCAGCTATCAGCCATCCTACAACCCACAGGTTAAGATAGACGGATCAGTTTCGGACCAGCCACACGTTAGGAGATACTATGTCCAATAATCCTCCGGCAAGGGTCAAAAAACCTCATCTGCCCTAATAAGTCAGTGGTTATCAGAGAAAGTTGTTTCAATATAGAGCTTAGTTTACAAGGCATGACAATTCCACGACAGATGAATTGTGGGGTCATCATATTAGAGGGAGAGTTTATCTTCTGGGGCTACTGTGCCCTAAACAATTGCCCCCAGTCTTTGAGGGAGCCTCCACCTTGAAAGCAGAGGGGGGTGGGCGGAAGGGCCATTCTCAACAGGGGAAAAAAATTTTAATGTCATGTACAAGGGCTAAAAGTAACGGCCAACACTATCAAGTTTTTCACGTGTTAAAGTTATATTTGAGCATGTATGAAATAAATATTGTTCCTTATATATTTAGTGAGTGAGTTGGATTTAACGCCGCTTTTAACAGTATTACAGTCATATCATGGCGTGTCAGCTTAATGTGGGAGGAAAGCCCGAAGTGATGCAGGTCTCAGACGTTTACCACTTTGGTGAAACCCAGGAGCACGGGTATGGTGCTGACAAACCTAGAAACATTATCGGGGCAACCCGTGATTCGAACACACAATTATAGATTTCTGGCGTGCCCAAGGGACGCAACTCTGCACAGCGAATCGCGGCGCCTTAGACGACCCGTGCCCCCCCTTATATATTTAACATTACTTGATTTGACCTTATGTTTAACATATCCTTTTGGTGATGAGAATGTTTTTACTTGGAACTTGTGTTGTTTGGAGATTGTTATGGTAAGTTACTTGTTGTTTTCCCATCAAGGATTGATGTGATGGGGCTGTGATGGAGTATGATGAGGACAAGGATAATTATGGTTTACATCATGTTATAATAATGAGAAGAATGATGAGCTGGGTAATCTCTATTGGAATTTTTTCACTAACTTGGTTCGTGTTGACCTTGGTTGAGTGTGGATCTGATTACCAAAGTATTGAGATCTAGAGATGGTCCTGCTGTCCCACCCTCTGTTGAG